CCTGCCCCTGGCCCTGCCCCTGCCCCTGCCCCTGCCCCTGCCCCTGCCCTGCCCCTGCCCCTGCCCCTGCCCTGCCCCTGCCCCGCTCCTGCCCCGCTGTGGAGGTTCTTAGTGACCTCAGATGCATTTCGTCCCGGAGCAATGGGCAGAGTCACAGTCAGGTTCCCAAGCGGCTGGTCAAGGTCACGGTGCCCAGGTGAAGGGGCGACTTGGGGTAGTGAGAGGCCGTCACGGTCGGTCACAGGCCTGTCTGTGGGGACATACTGAGTCCCCGCTGGGGCAGCTTTCTCTCCTGGGGTAAGACTAAGATGTTCTCCTGCCCTGACCGGGTGGCGAGGTTGGTTGGAGTGTCCTCGTGTTCGCCAAAAGGCTGCCGCTTCAGTTCCCAGTCAGGGCACGTACCTAGGTTACGGGTCTGTCCCTGTTTGGGGCAAGGACGAGAGCCAACCAGTCGATGCTTCTCCCTCTCATTGATGTTTCTCTCCCTTCCCCCCCTCCTCTCTCTAAAGTCAGTAAACATATCCTCAGGTGAGGATTTTTAAAAAAAAGATAAAGGTAATTTAAGGTGTTCTCTTGGAGGTCCCCTGGTCTCAAGTGTCACAGGTTCCCGTGACCGAACGTGGATCAGCAGGAGTGAGGGTGACCCTGGGGAGGGGGGGCAGGTGCAGCTCTGAGCCTGGCCCCAGTGCGTACACACTCCGCTCGGGCCCACCCCGCTGCTCGGCCGTTCTTCACTCCCCCAGACATTGTACCTCTTTAGAAATAACGCTGGCGTAGGTGGTGCCTGTGACATTGGCGGTTTGTGGTCCGGAGCAGCTGAGCACTGTCTCCGAGGGCCCACCTGACAAGAGCAGCGGGAGCTGACAGGTACTGAGCCCTGCCCTGGGCCAGACGCTACCTCACTGCAGTTTCCGAGGAGGAAAGGCCTGTGGGTGCTGCTCTTATTTCTCATTTACGCATGAGCAAAGGGAAGCTTGATGAAAGACATTAATAAACTTGCCAAATCCGTGCGGACTCACTGAGCTGGGATTCTGACCCAGGGCCTTTGCTCGGAGCCGTCTGAGCTCAGGAAACAGACTCGCACCGTCTCCTCCGAGGCCCTGCGGTCGATACAGAGGCGCCAAGCTGTCATTCCCAAAACAGCAAGTAACTCGGTTTTTCTTAGGGCCCCACCCCTGCTATTCTCTCTCTACCGAGCAGGAAAACAAACGTGCATTACCAACATCTCTGCAAAAAAAGAATTTTTATATTCACGCCCAGACCCCATTTCGGGCGGTGCTGGGGTTTTCCGTAGGAGGGCAGGTCAGGCCGGGGAAGGATGCGGTGAACCTGGCGCTC